AGGATCACGGCGGAAATCTCGGCACATATCAAGGATCCGAGTAATTAGCAAATCATAAGATTTTTTACTCTATATAGAATTGTACCAAGAGTAGGATACCCCTACTATATAAAAGGGGTCTGATCATTTGTAAGACACATTGAAATACGCAATACAAAGCAACTTACTGCTATTTTTAGCTCTCATCACCTTGTTATTCTTCTCTTACATCAGAAGAGGCATTTCTTGGCTCGAGGGTGATCAAACTCTAAGGCCAAGACTGTTCAATTTGTGTGGTTTGCATTCATTTTCTTATCGTTAATCTCAATATTAATTTATCTTCTTAAATTGTGTCAAGTTATATCACGTATCCTTAAAACCGTGTATAGATTCAATTATTATCCCATTTTAAGGGTAAACATGGGTAGGATTTCCTATAATTATCTTCTTCTGCCCGAGTGTTTGTTAAACTCTCATGACTTCCTAGAAGGTGAAATATAAGCAGCTTTGTGTATATTCACTATCACTGGACATTGATCTGTGGTTCCGTGTTTGCTAACTCAGCTTCACAAATTGAGGAATGATTGCTCTATTCAAGCTTTTTAAGTATTCTGACGTTAAACCAGGTAAAAGATTTTTTTTTATTAGTACTGTATATACAGAAGAAATAGCAGTCCATTCGCAAGTAATAATGCTATACCACATTGTAATGCACAGGGGAGATATAGCTGCTTGAATAGTAAAAGCCAAAGGATCAGTTGCCACACTTATCATCATGCCCATACTATCCTGAACTGCATTATAAATAGAATTTCCAAGTATAGTAAATGCTCATAGTAATCTTGTGATTCTATTAATAGGAATTTTGTTTCCATCATAGCAGTTGTGTCCAAAATTCATTGTCTCTAGTTTCCTTTGTGTTCTTCTTTCCTTGTTCATATTGACATAACTCATCTTTTTCAGGATCTTGAGCGTTAATCTCTTTAGATGCTGCACTTTCTTCTTTGCTTCCTAAAGTTGCTCCCTTGGCCTCAAGAGTTTGGTTTATATCATCAAAGTAGTTTCTGCTAACCTGAAGCTTTAATAGTTGTTCAATGAACTACTGTTGGTACCCTCGATCCTTCATAGTGTACAAGTACTATGAAGGAAAGGTGAAAAGAACCCTATTTAGGAAGTCAATAGAGAACCTGAGATCTGACGTGAACAATCAGTCCGAGTGGCAGACTACAACAATCACGACAAACCCAGTAGTTTTACACAAGCGGGGTCTGGGGGTAAGATGTACGCAGGCCGCAACCTTACCCCTACCCCTGGAAGCGCAGAGAAGTTATTTTTGATAGGCCCTCGGTTAGAGAAATGAACCAAAAAGGTCATTACCAAAAAATGTTCTTTGCAAACTGAACATTCTTTGATATCAGTCCGAGTGGCAGACTATACAACAACAACAACAACAACGACCCAGTATAATCCCACAAGTGGGGTCTGGGGAGGGTAATATGTACGCAGACCTTACCTCTACCCCGAAGGGTAGAGAGGCTGTTTCCAGGAGACCCTCGGCTCAAAAAAGCAATAGGAGATGATATATTAGTACCATAAAAATGCGTAATAAAATAACAACAATATATAAGAGATATGAAATATGAAATACAGAATACGAAATACGAAATATGAAATAGCTGGCTGGTATATTACAACTAGAAGGCAGACTATATAGATTGAAAATAAGCTAAGTGTTTGGAAATGGCAAGTTTTCTAATTATTGGCTTCATTGACTCATTTGAAATCCAGCAAGATCTTAAACTTATTTTCCATATTTCCATTGATTCATCCAAGACTAATTGCATATTAAAGCATATAGCTCAAAGGTGTATTTGTCCATTTTTCAATTTTTTAACGTGAAAATTTTGGTAAACAACTAACTTGTTACAATCGGTTAAATTGCATTGTTAGTGAAAATGTCTTCTACAATAATAGTTAGAAAATGAGATGCAAAAAGGGTTAAAAATTGGCACTCTGCTGGTTCTTTTAACAATCCTTAGTGTGACAATTAATTTCAATTTTCTTTTTCCCACTCAGATATTGCCTATCATGGATTAAATACGTTATTTTTTCTTAAAGTATGGTCTATTTTCTTTTTCATTTTAATTTGACGCATGAGGGGGATTCAGTAGAATGAGACGTCCACATATTTATCTCTAGGGAAGCTGAAGAAAGTCAACACGCTTGAGTATCTAATAAAAATGTGATTTAAGTTTTTGCACCGACGACATAACAATATTTACATAATTAAAACAGTAATAATATACGTTATGTATAAATTTGTATGCTGTTCTGTAACCTGGTAAAATAATAATTAATTTGCTATTGCAGATGAAAATTCATTAAAAATATAAAGAATCTTTATATTGTTAATGTATATAACTTAAATTTAATTCTTACACATAATGTATAATAATAATTGGTTCACCAGTCATCAGCCAAGTTGCATAGAATTATGACCAAAAAAAAAAAATTGGAATTCTCAATTATTGTTGGACCACACACATTAAATTATATCACTTGGGGTGGATTTTTGGTATAACATATTCAATGAAAAATTTGTCCTTAACTGAATGATGAGTCTATCTAGGTTTGATAATTTACACCTCATCCTAGCTTGGAGAAGTATCTTGATATTAAAATACCCTACTTTATTGGATATTCCCACCTTATTTCGTTTCCTTATGCTAACAAATTTTATTGTTTTCAATTATAGATTTTTCATTTTTATTTAATAAAATCTTTTTATTATATATTCCCACATGTCAAAGTTATGGAAAACTTTTCTCTTAATTTATGTATTCAACAATCTCCCAGCTAGATAACAATCATACAAGAATGAAACTAATCATTTTAGCCGTCCTTCCCTTCTAAATATGTAAAGTACTCAAATTCTAAAATTTACAATTTTGATGGTCTCCTAAATCAAGGAAGAAATGAAATGTAAGAGTTAAGACTTTGGACAGGTAAAACATGTCAAAATAATCGTCTGAACTGCAAATTTATATCTTGTTGCCATTTTTTCTTTTTTTGAGTTTTCACGATTTATATTTTTCATATTACTTTTTTTATAACAGAGAAATTTCCGAGGATTGATGGCACATAATCCGAAATTCAATGGATAGTGGATTAGTCCCTTCATCTTTGTCCACTTAAATGTTGTTATCACATTTTGAACCCGTCCTAACCGGTGGGCGTAGCTACCCTATGCCAAGAATGGTCAAGTGCACACTCTTCACCGAAAAATTATATTATATATAATTTAAATATTGGGGTTTTTGTGTAGAAATAAAAAACTAATCTTAAAAGTATTTTTTAACTAAAAATTATTTCTTAAGTAAATTTTATAATTTAAAAGTCAAGCTCTACAAAAAACAAATCAACAAAAGCTCTCTACAAACTACAAATCCTCTCGACTCTCTCTTTCCTTTGGTTTTAGCTTACTTGTATTAGTAACATTTCTCATGTTGTCTTTTTGTTATTTTAGTTTTGATTTATAAAATTATAGTTCTATTAAAAGTTTTTTATTGGCTAGCCAAATATCTTGTATTGCTATTTCTTGCTATAAGTGCTTTTTCCATCTTTTCTTTAGTCGGGGGTCTATCAGAAACAGTTTCTCTACCCTTCCAGAGTAGGAGTAACGCTGCGTAGATCCTACCTTACTCAGATCCCACTTGTGGGATTACACTGGGTTGTTGTTATTGTTTATTGTTTATAAAAATTTACTATACCATTGATGAACATTAAAAATTATTGACTTATTTAAAGTTTGAACACCCTTGACGAAATTCCTGGCTACCTCATTAATCCTAATCGACACATCACACAGTGCACTCTTTATTCTATTCTTATAGCAGTTCTTACAAGGAACTACAAATTAAATTTTGAAATTCGTATTTTGTGCTTTTAGCATGACAATTGTGCCAAGTCTTAATAAACTCTAAGGAAACGTTTGGTTGTAAAGATGTTATCACATGATTAATTATTCTGGGATTAGTTATTTCATCTTTTCATGGGGATAAAAAAATACTACAATCTCGGGATAATTAATTCCGGGATTAATTATACCGTAATTTTCTACCTATCAAACATGGGAGAAACTTTCTTAAATTTAGTTCTGGGGTTAATTATTCCTTGTCCCTCATACCAAACGAGCCCTAAGATTACTCTATTATTGTGATATGCTCAGTATTAACCATAGTTTATACTTTACATTACATTAAAGTTATACACAGTCAAAATCGGGCTCGTCTACTACACGACAGATCGAACTTGGAACATGAGGGATTGAAGACCGATTTCGAGTTCCATCGAACCGAAACACGAGGTCAGAGTGTCTGTCCTCGAAAACATTGAGTCCATGACCCCGGAAACGACCCTGACCCCAAACGAGCTCGGGGAGACATTGCTTGTACAACCAACAGGAGACCGAAATAATAGAAGGCTGAAATATCCGTGACCGGCCGGATATTACAGCGGAAATCTCGGCACGTATCAATAAGGAACCGGCAAATCAACAAATCAGGAGATTTTTACCTTTTATAGAATTGTACCTAAAGAGGGTCTGATTACTTGTAAAACACATTGTAACACTCATCCCAAAGCAGTATAATATTATTTTCTTTCTGTAAGCTACTGTTCTTCGGTATTTGATATCGTTTGAATTGCATCTAGTTCAAGTGAGACTTACTTTTAAGGCTATAGTGTTCAAGTCGTACGGTTTGAATTTATTTTATCATTGCTCGCTTTAATTACAATTCAATTTATCGCTTTGTGTCAAATTAATCCATGTATCCTGAAAACTACTTACAAATTCAATTGTTATCCGATTTTGAGGGTAAACAAAAGTTATAGGTTTAAAGACGGGAATAAATGTGAAATAACCTTGAATATTAAATTGCACTAATAATAAAGAAGGAGGATTCTATAGACCTTCAATTGGCCGATAGCCACTAGCATATGCCAAACTGAGATTATACATCTCTTCACTACACATTCCATTAGCATAGAAGTTCATGCACGAATAGTTAATACAGAGAAAAATACACCTCAATTTATAGGAAAATGACTATAAATTCTTGATAGCCTTTTTCCATGCTACTAAAAGTTACTTCTCAATACAATCCACTGTACATAATACAACATGATAAAGTGAACAAAAAGAATACAGACTACAATAAGCTGAATACAACACACAAGATACAAATCATAAGAATGAGTGGGAGATATAAATGGTTGTGCTGGCGGGAGGTAGCAATATCCAATGAAATAATCAAGGTGCCCACAAGCTAGCTCAGACAGCACCGTAATAAAAATAAAAAATAAAAAAGATATATAGATGGCTGCACATTGAAGGCTGCCTTACATTACAAGTTGCGCAAAGGACTGACCAGTGAGCAAAAACATTGAGTGGCTCGGTCCGAGCAAGAAAATCCACAGTAGGAAAGTAGATACTCCAGATCAAAGGGGAAACAGGAGAAGAAGAATTGATTTCTCTTATGTTTAAGCATATTCAGGATTCAGTGACAAAGCTTCCTGATATATCATGTCCTTAATTTGCTCTTCTCCTATTCCTTGTTGCTCAAAGTCAAAGGAGAATGGAACAGGGCAGATCGGTTCGTCACCTGCATCGTGGAGCTTTGCAAGGTAGGGATGATCTAATGCTTCCTCAACTGCATCCGAATACAAATACATTAGCGGATGAGCTTAAAAGAGAACAAACGGAATATGATTCAGCAAGAATCTTCATTTCGTGTGGTCTATGTGAAAATGTTGGCAAGTATCATCGTTTTATGTGGCCTATGCAAAATGAACTCTTTTTACTGAGGAAGAAAGAATGATAAGCTTTCCTAAAGATAAGCGATTATGAATATATTATTGGACTCTATAATGTTAAAGAGTTATTACATGCAAGGGACAAGTGTATTATGATTTTATTGCAAAGAGAGATACTTTTTGAGTCAAAAGAGTCGATCGTTCAAGCTTTCCAATCTCTAAGATAGCAATACAGAATATGGAAATTACCTGTAATTCTTCTAGTAGGATCGAATGTCAACATTTTATCGACAAGATCAATAGCCAATGGGTTCACATGAGGGAAAACTTCTGCTAACTGCTGGCGAGGATGTTGTGGGAGTTGCCTGATGTATCTCTTTGCATCTTCATTTTGGAGGAAGCCAAGATCAGCTTCTGTTGGGGTGCCAAGAAGCTGAGAAAAGTAAAAGCCAGGATAAGCATTTTCTCGCCATAAGATTACTCATAATTGTATACTAATTTGTTGTTTTTTCCGGTCCATAATAAGCTGATGCTTATGTTTGCGTGGAGGAAAGGAGAAACATAATCAAAGTAAAATCAAGAATCCACATGGTTAAATCTTGTTCCATGTAAAAAATGAAGTGTATATATCCTTATTTTGTTATTTCTTTCAAGAATCAATCTTTACCTCGGTTAACAAGCGTATTTGATGTACATGATCTTTTCCAGCAAACAAAGGTTTTCTATTCATAAGTTCCATGAAGATGCAACCGACAGACCAAACATCTATAGCAGCAGTGTAATCTGAAGAGTTCAACAAAAGCTCTGGTGCCCTGTACCATCTGGTTACAACATATTCCGTCATATTCTCGTTCTCTATGTTTGGCCTAGCAAGACCAAAGTCACATATCTTAAGATCACAATTTGCATTTAGCAAAAGGTTGCTCGGTTTGAGATCTCTATGAAGAACATTCGCGGAATGTATGTATTTTAGGCCACGGAGGAGCTGATACATGAAGTACTGCAAACAAAAAATTTTATTTAAGAAAGAAAAGTAATTTACAGAAAACTATCAAGATGCATATTAGATAGATTGTCGCAGTTAACTTGGTACAGTTTCGGGGGTGGATTTACCTGACAGTGATCCTCTGATAAACCTTGGTTGGATCTAATTATTTGGTGAAGATCAGTATCCATGAGTTCAGTAGCAATGTAAACATCAGAAAACTCCCTTCGTAAGGGTGGAGGAATCACGTCTCTTAAACCAATTACCTGCAGAGAATTTTTGGTTTCCTTGAATAAGCAAAAACTAGGAGGTACTTGTACTAAATGAGGCATCCAAATTGCAAATTGCCGTAAAGTTCACCATTATGAAGTCACATTATCCAGAATTATGCAGAAAGATGAAATAACAATCTAAACTATAACAAATACATTATTAAGTATCCACTAAAAATCTAGTCATCGTGCTATAGACAGCTGAAAGCAATAGAATTTGTTTATTCTCAGCTTCTGGAAATTCCATTACAACAAGGGCAGAAAGAAAGAACTGTCTGACCAGCAACGAGTTTGTTGTCTTTACCTACTAGTACTATGAAAATTGCTCTTTATTCTGGAGAATCAAATTTCCACAATTTTCAAGCCGACATAGAAAAGGAAGCAAAGACGATTAGAGAGAAGAAATTGTTCAGATTCAGGAATCACTTAAGTGCAAGAAAAAACTTATCAACAACCAATCCATACTCCATGTTTAATCAATTTAACTCAAGGAGCCCATATTAAACAGTTAAAAGGGCTATGCCTTTATATGAAATGTTGGATGATGTTTGCTATTGTAGCCTTGACAGGCTTGATTTACAAAAATCAAAATGAACACGGTATTTCTATCATTCAATCAATTAACCCTCAATCCCAAACCAGTTGAGCTCAGCTATATGAATCCCCTATGTAGACACTATTCATGTCCATTTCACTCCAGTAATCGATTAATTTGATAGAATAACTAGTTTAATCTAACCAATTGTCTGTGTTGCTCGGGCTCTTTGAAAATGTCGCTTGGTGCGTATTGGATATCTGACACGGGTGTGGCAGCATTTGGAGAGTCCGCACAACATAGCCAGTTGCATATGGANGGGGGGGGGGGGGGGGGGGCTGGCTAGTCTGTAAAGCAGTAGCATGGGATTCTCACTTCATGATCAGTAGAAATTCTCCTTCAATAACAACTCACAACATCAAGAAGAGTACCAGAGTAAGAAAAGGAACAGAAGAAGACTCACATTTTCATGGTCTAAATGGCGGAGGAGCTTAATCTCACGGAGAGTCCTCTTAGCATCCATGTAAATATCAAACGCATTCGCGATTTTCTTAACTGCAACCATCTCATTCAGCTCCGTATTCAACACCGAGCTTTACATACACAGACAGACAAAACACCATTATCGGCTAGAATTCGGAGGCGAATCTAAGATTTAAAGCTAGCAAATACACCACTTAGTAAATATACATATATTCAACATATATACACATATGTGGCGTTCCTGCACCTACTGGCAAAGGTATATAGAGCCTTTGTTAAATGGACTCAACTTAACCATACATAGATACAACCATCATGTTTTTTTGGACAGACTAAAAAGAAAGAATGTCATCTAAAATGAGGCACAAGTGGTAAAATTTTAGTTTTTTCAATATAAAATGACACATTTTACTACCTCTGTCCCATTTTATATGACATTTTTTCCTTTATATTCTGTACCAAAAAAGAATGACACATTTTCTTATTTAGGAATAGTTCAACTTTAAATTTCTCATTTTATTTTTAATGAGATAACTATAGCCACATAAATGACTATCATGTTTATAGCACAAGTTTTAAAAGTCATTTTTTCTTTCTTAAACTCCGTATCCAGTCAAATACATTGGCATAAATTTACTCATTTCAAACATACAATGAGTTCAGCGTTAAAAAACACTAAAGATTGAACTCATTAAGTTTAAATTCTGAATCTGCATAGTGTTGGATCCAATTTTACTCTCAATACAGAGAAAACACAAAGAGGAAAAGAACCCAAAGGAAAAACAATTTCATGGATAAAGAAAAAAAGAAGTTGAAGAAAAAGAAGGTACCAGACAATTCCATAAGCACCACGACCAATAGGCATAATAGGAGGACGATACTTGGTAGTGATCTCAAAGAAATTACCAAAAATATCAAACTGTACATATTGTCCGCCGTGAGTTAAAACCGAAGGAAAATCAGGGAATTGACCTCCACCGGCACCCATATTTGCATCAGCCATGAATTAATTTCAGTCCTTAATCTAGCTCAAGAAAAGAAAAAAATATGTGCCTAATTAAGACAAGATCATATGAACATGTAATAAGTGTAAATATGAGCATATGTGTATATATATAGATAATTAAATATATACATATAATTGTAGAGGGTGTAGGGGTCAATGAAGAAGGAAAGGGAAGGAGGAAGGAAATTTAGGGGAAAGGAGAAGAGGAGGACGCGTTAGGTGTACTGGATGCCCATTGACTGGAAAATTTATTAGAGAATAGAATAGATTTCTGGTTGTTTTCCACGTTACAGTTATATTAGCCGCCAAGTCAACGGTCTCCTATTTCCCCCCTTTGCTTTTGGGCAAGTCTTCTTGCCCATTACATAATTAGCAAGTCCAATTAAGCAATAGTTATTATGTGACAACTCGACCCTTCTATTTGCTTAATTGTGTTACTAATTATGTTTTGGAAGTGTGTATATATTGTTACAGTAATTTGTGACTTGTTGGTATAATCTAAATTGAATCTGAGGGGTTCGGACATGTTGGAAAGAAAAAAATTGTGCAGTAATTTTTTGTAGCAAGCTTCTGCCAGCGATCGAGAAGCTCAGCTGCCTAGCCGCCAACTTTGCGATAGCGAGCCAAGCCCATGCATAGGTCCCTGCAACTGCAGTAGGCCCTGTTATAAATTTGACAATTTTAAGTTTTCCAGAATTCCAACTTCATATATGGGATTTTGGACTGCCGATTGGGACATTTTGAACAAATAATCACCCATTGGGGATCGATATAATGACTTAAATTAGTTTTGAGTTAATTACATAATTTTACGTCGATTTTTACAATCAAATTAAAACATGACATTTAAGTAGGAAAATCATGGATTTGATGGGCTTTTAAGGCTCCAACTGGAAAACTAACAATGTATTTAGTCTCTGTAGATTATGGGTAATACGAAAATGTATTGAGTTAGTTGGTTTAACTCTGTTGACCATGGTTTTATTTTTGGCTGAATCCATACGGAGACATTTAAAGTTGGCACGATTTTTCATTTGGACACCTGAACTCAAGGGTGTTCCTATTGAGCACTTATACTACCCGAAACTTATTCCAATTGAACACTTCTTGTTGAGTTGACACATAAAGTGAGTTTCACTCGATATAGGCGCGTGAAGACTCAAAAAATAGATTTTTTATTTTTTTCTTTTTTATTTGCTTCTTCTTCTCCCTCAAAAACAAAACAGATCTGCCATGACATCGCTGGCCGAAGAGAATTAGCCGCACCCCCTTCTTTCTCTCGTGTAATACTAAGCGCATGACACCAATCTATTTAGTAAAGACTTGAAACAAATACTTGCCAAATTCTTGCTTCAATGTATGCATTAAGAGCTAACAGAGAGGAGGAGCAATGAAGTAAAGAAGAAAAAAGAGCTGATGCTAAAGGCAAATGTCTACGGCTTGAGATAATAAAAATATCAGATCAATATCCTCATTCAAAAATAGGAGCTGTGTTCACACTTTCAGAGGAGAAGCTTTTGGAGGGATTTGAGATTCCCGGGTTCAAGCAAGAAATTGTTGAAATCTTGTTGCAGAGAACTGTGACTAAATGAAAGCCACCATTAATAGGGTCTTTAAAAAGCTTGAAGGTTTAAAATGGGTTACTTGATTTGATGAAAGTTTGAGAACTTAATATTGGGGCTGTCTTCGGATCGTCGTGGGGAATCTTTAGCTGAAGTTATAACAAATTTGGAGGAGTTTCTCTTAAAAATTTGGATTAAAATCGTGCTTAGAACAAGAACACACATGAAAATAGTGAAGAACACCAAGACCACTGATTATTTTGTTTATTAAATATATTTAACATAGTTTTTTTTTACTCAAAATAATATATGTCCTTTTTTATTCGTCATTCGCCACGTCAGCAGCGAGTGCATTGCACAAACTTTGTAAGTTTGGCTGATTGTCAAAGAAGTGCTCAATTGGAATAAGTTTCGGTTAGTATAAGTGCTCAATAGGAATACCCTTAAGTTCATGTGTGTAAATAAAAAATCGTGTCAACTTTAAGTGTCTCCGTATGTATTCAGCCTTTATTTTTTGAATTAACTTTGGAAGATTTAAGTAAGGTTTATATTTAGGGATTTTTACATTCCTATACCACATATGAAACCTTATTACCCTCAATGTTTAAGGTTTGATTTAATTACAAACCCGTATACCAAATTACCAATCCTAGACCATATTTAATTAAGGGTTTAATTAATGGGCTATTTTTACTCCTTAATTAAAGGTATCCATATCTAATTAATGGGTAGTTTTTACTCCTTAATTAAAGGTATCCATATATCTCACGTTTCTCTCTCCTTACCCCTCACCCTCTCACCCACGTTTTTACCCATACCCCACATTCTTTTTACCATTTTCCCTCTTCTGTAACCAAACAAAATTCCCTCTTTCTGGAAAATGATTTGTTTGAATTCCGTTTCGACGTCACCTGGTCGAAAGGTTGCAGGCATCACCATCGTGGCCATCAAGATTGCAGGCATCACCATCGTGGCCATCAAGTATCATAAAACAGCATGGGCGATATGTTAGTGTCGATCCAATTAATGGTAAAAGACGTGATAATAAATCACTTCTAAACTTCTTCTCATATTTCTTGATTGGAATGTTATGAATTGCTATTTTGGCAGCTTTTATTTGTAGTATTTTGTAGAAATTTTGTAGATGAAGAGCCAATTGTAGAAATGTGACATCCACAATTAATCTGCAAATTGTTTGCAAATTTTTACAAAAGCTACAAATTAATTACATTTAACCTACATTATAACTACAATCTGGAAACAATTTACACATGGAAGTTCTTCAAGTTGGAATTGGTCACAACTACATTTCTTGTTTTCTAGACACACAATGTACCGCTTCACACCATCCAACACAGTATGTATATGATCTGTCCAAGCCCTCCTCACCTACATTTTCAGAACAAACACAAAAAAAAAAAAACAATTACAATATTAAAAATATAGTATCTACAATATATCTACATTTTATCTACAATTTATCTACAAATTAACTACAAACTATAAGTAAACTACAATTTGCTTACAATTTATCTACACTCTAGAGATATTGTATATTAAAATATTTTTTTCCTGCACCAAATAAAGAAATTGTAGTCAAATTATAGATATATGTAGTAAATTTGTAGATAATATCATAAAACTAAGAAGACCTATTGCTGTTATTTTTTTCTTCCCTTTTTTGTTGTTCTTTACAAGCTTTAAGTTATTGTCATTGACTTCATTTTGATCTTAGCCTTGAAGATGTTGAAGGGGTTGATCAGTTGCGGTGGGAGGATCAGTAGAAGATAAGGGTATATGTAGAGGGTGGTGGATCAGGATCCTCAAACACCCCTAATCCTGCTGCAACGGAACTTGGTATTGAAGTCTCTCAAACCTCCCGTGATAGAAGAAACGACGAAGAAAAGATTTTTTCAACTTTGAGTTGTTGAAACTCGAAAATTTGAATTGTTCGTTATTTTTTTTTTCGAGAATTTGATTTGTAGTTTTGGAGAAAAATATGTAGATGAGAAATCTCCTTTCCCTTTTTAAAAATTAAATTTAATGTAGAATCAATTAACACCAAGATTCTCTTCTTAATTTTAGGGAATATTCTGCCCTTTTAATGCCTAATAGTCGAATGGTACAAAATTTGTAGGCAAAACGTGGATTGGGCGGGTAATTAATAAACAATGCATATTTTTAGTAATAAGGTTTTATATATGGTATAGATAGGAAAAAATCCTTTGTATTTAAGAGATAAGTTCAATAGGTTTGTTTAACTCCATTAATTATTCTTTTGTATAAATCGAAGTCGTTTGGAGGAGATTAAGCAATTTTGGAGCAGTATTCTTATCTCGAATCGAGGTAAGTACAGACTTTTTGACCTCTAAAAGAATTTTTCCTAAAGCAATTTTGGAGCATGTTGGGTGGCTAGTTGTTACAAATATTATTGTTAATATAACTTTTGAACACTGATTACGTGTCCAATAATATGATTCAGGCAACTCCAAAGTATGTACAAAACCGACTGGGAATTTAGATTAAAATAAATTAGATTTCTGGTTGTTTTTCATGTTATATTAGCCGCCGAGTCACCGGTATCCTATTCATTACTTTTTTCTCCTTTTTGTCCTATTTTTTCTTTTGCCATTTGAGTTGGGTTGGCCTAACTGATTGAAACTTGCTTATAAAATAAGAATTAATAAGTATTTATTGCAATATATTGGGTCGGCTGCAGGTGGATATTCTGAGGTGCATGGCGGCTTCGACTTCGGGGAAAGGAACGGAGGGGGCACTTCGCTGTTGGACTTCGCCAAGGCATTTGAGCTGGTGATTGCGAACTCAAGTTTTTCGAAGTGGGAGGAGCACTTAGTTACTTTCCAAAGTTCGGTGGTGAAGACCCAGATTGACTATTTCCTCCTCAGGAGAGGGGATAGAAGATTGTGCGAGGATTGCAAGGTTATCCCAGGTGAGACCCTCGCAACACAACATAGGCTTTTGTGATGGACGTTGGTATTATAATAAGGAGGAAGAAGAGGTTAGTACGAGGTCGCTCGAGGATCAGGTGGGGCGCCTTGACAAAGGATAAAGTCCGGGAGTTGGAAGGAAGGTTATCGGCTATGGGAGCTTGGAGGAGTTATGGGGACACAAACACTATGTGGTCCACGACGGTGGACTGTATAAGGAAGGCGGCGAGAGAGGTGTTAGGGGTATCTTCGGGTTTCTCCGGTGGCCACAAAGGAGACTGGTGGTGGAATGAAGTTGTCCAAGGCAAAGTGGAAGCGAAGAAGGCAGCGTACATGCAGTTAGTAGGGAGCACTAGCGGGGAGGAAAGGAGGATGAATAGAGAGAGGTATAAGGTAGCTAGGAAGGAGGCGAAGCTGGCAGTCACGGAGGCAAAGACAACGGTTTTTGCTCGCCTGTATGAGGAACTGGGTGACAAAGGTGGGGAGAAGAAGTTATTCCGACTAGCTAAGGCGAGAGAGAGAGGGGCTAGGGATATGGACCAAGTAAGGTGCATCAAAGACGAGGACGACAGAGTTTTGATGGGGGATAACCAGATTAAGAGGAGGTGGCAGACCTACTTTCATAAATTTCTAAATGAAGAAGGAGATCATGATATTGTGCTAGGTGAATTGGGAAATGCCGACAATCTCCATGACTTTAGTTATAGGCACATTAAGGTCGAGGAAGTAATGGAGGCAATGCGTAAGATGAGTAGGGGCAGAGCTACCGGGTCAGACGAAATTCCAGTTGAACTTTGAAAGTGCGCGGGTAGAGCAGGCTTGGAATAGTTAACTGGGTTATTTAATGTTATATTCAAGACAAATAGGATGTCAGATGAGTGGAGGTGGAGTAAAATGGCCCTGTTGTACAAGAACAAATGTGACATCCAGAGTTGTAATAATTATAGGGGTATCAAATTACTGAGTCATACCATGAAAGTTTGGGAAAAAGTGGTAGAAATGAGAGTACGAAGGACGGTGTCTATTTCAGACAACCAGTTCGGGTTCATGCCGGGGCGTTCTACCACAGAAGCTATCCACCTTATTAGGAGGACCGTGGAACAGTACAGGGATAGGAAGAAAGATCTCCACATGGTATTTATTGATCTGGAGAAGCGTACGACAAGGTTCCTAGGGAGGTTCTATGGAGTTGCTTGGAGGCGAAAGGGGTGCCAATTGCCTACATTAAGGTGATCAAAGACATGTATGATGGAGCTAAGACTAGAGTTAGGATATTAGGAGGTGATTCCGAGCATTTTTCGATTGTTATGGGGTTGCACCAAGGGTATGCGCTCAGCCCGTTCCTATTTACCCTGGTGATAGATGCACTGACTCATCATATTCAAGGGGAGGTGTCATGGTATATGCTATTTGCTGATAACATAGTTCTGATTGATGAGACGCGAGGCGGCGTCAATGAGAGGCTAGAGGTTTGGAGACAGGCCCTTGAGTCTAAGAGTTTCAAGTTGAGCAGGACTAAGACGGAATACCTAGAGTGCAAGTTCAGCATCGAGCAGACGAAAGCGAGGGTGGACATGAGGCTCGACTCCCAAGTCATTCCCAAGAGGAGTAGTTTCAAGTACCTTGGGTCGGTTATTCAGGGGATTGGGAAGATCGACGAGGATGTCATACACCGTATAGGGGTGGGGTGGATGAAGTGGAGGTTAGCGTCGGGAGTCCTATATGACAAGAAAGTTCCACCAATACTAAAAGCTAAGTTTTATAAAGCAGTGGTTAGGCCTGCCATATTGTACGGGACCGAGTGTTGGCCGGCTAAGAACTCACATATTCAAAAGATGACAGTAGCAGAGATGAGGATGTTGAGGTGGATGTGCGGGCATACTAAGATGGATAAGATTAGGAATGAAGCTATTCGGGAGAAGGTAGGCGTAGCCCCCGTGGAGGACAAGATGAGGGAAGCAAGACTCAGATGGTTCGGGCACATTCTGAGGAGGAGCATTGATGCTCCGGTAAGGAGATGTGAGTGACTAGCTGTGGTGGGCACGAGGAGAGGTATAGGACGGCCCAAGAAGTATTGGGGAGAGGTGATTAGGCAAGACATGACACGACTTAGGATTACTAAAGACATGGCCCTTGACAGGAAATTGTGGAGGTTGAGCATTAAAGTTGTAGGTTAGGAGGTAGTTGTGAATATTTCTTCGGCGCATCAGAGTGAGACTTGCCAGTTAGGTTTTAGTTTTAGAATGTTAGTGGTTTCTACTGATGCCGGTCTTTACCTACTGGTTATTGTTTACTTTCCATCTATTTCGTGTTTTTTGTTTTATATATCATTGTTATTCTATTATGATTCAATTAATAATACTAATATATTGTCTCTTGTCGTCTTCTTGAGCTGAGGGTCTCCTGGAAACAGCCTCTCTACCCCTCAGGATAGAGGTAAGGTCTGTGTACATACTACCCTCACCAGACCCCACAAGTGGGATTACACTGGATCGTCGTTGTTGTTGTTGTTGTTGTTGTTGTTGTTATTGCAACATAATTTTGAAAATTGAATACGATTTTATAAATACTTTATGTTTGAACAAAAATACTGAAAATTTACAATAAATATTTTTATTATATTTGGTAAAGGAAAAATATCACTTTTTATATTAAAATGCTTGAAATATCTTTAAAATTATCTGTAAAAATCTAAATCAGTAAAAAACAGCATTTTTACAAGACAGTGAGTTGGGGTATTGTTTGGGATGGATATTTGCAAATTCACAAAAAATGAATAAAATAGTAAAAATTTGGTAAAATTAGAAGTGATTATAAGCCGAAACATTATAAATTTGATGGTAGAGATTTATACTTTTAACTGAATTAAACTTATAATTATTTAACTTAAAAAGAATATTTTTAATATTTATTGAACCGGTAATATCTCTTTAGGGACTCGCCTCGGCTAACACACGAAGTATTTTGTCATTCCTAAATAATTTAAGTACTTTTAAGAAAATTTTATAAGCAACTTTTTCGTGAAGATATCTGGTTCACCAAGTGCCATGATGAACGTTTTTCAGAACTTCTGTCAAATTGAACAATTTTTTCAAGAACCAAAAATTTCCAACCACTTTATTTAATTTTAGATACTTTCTTAAATAATATGTCCAAACGTCACTTTTATAATTTTGCTAATTTTCTTTTTTGTATTTTATGTAGCATATTATTAAGACTAGTTCAAGTTCCCTTATTTAGCTATCAACCAAACTAATATTTCAAATTTACAAATAAACTTATTATAAATGACAAAAAGATTACATGAAAATTAATCTATATATATA